GCGTTCTTTGCCTTGAGTTCGCCGGATTTACCCTGTTATCCTCGCGAGTCGCCGGACAGCCCGGTGAAGGATACCTACCAACAGAACAGATACCCAACGTGTGAATGCGTAAAGGACAAAGAGCAAAACAGGCCGACAGGATGGCTTCAAGAAGTCTGCAAGCATACGAAAGTCGAAGTCAAGACTCGTGGACTGACCCGGAGTCTTCGGACGCGCGGACGGGCTACAGCTACATCATAAAGCCGCTGCGGCGGTCCGCTAAGTGCGGCACAAATGCATGACAAGCGGCTGCGGAAGGCAGTGCACGTAGGAAGCCCGCCGCGGCGGCACGCCAAACTGAAGGCATTGACTTAGGAGCATATAGACAGCGACCGCGGAAGGCGGGGCGCTTGTAGAAAAGCCGCTGCGGCGGTCCGCTAAGTGCGGCACAAATGCATGACAAGCGGCTGCGGAAGGCAGTGCGCGTAGGAAGCCCGCCGCGGCGGCACGCCGAAATTAAGGCGTTGATTTAGGAGCATATAGACAGCGACCGCGGAAGGCGGGGCGCTTGTAGAAAAGCCGCTGCGGCGGTCCGCTAAGTGCGGCACAAATGCATGACAAGCGGCTGCGGAAGGCAGTGCACGTAGGAAGCCCACCGCGGCGGCACGCCGAAATTAAGGCGTTGACTTAGGAGCATATAGACAGCGACCGCGGAAGGCGGGGCGCTTGTAGAAAAGCCGCTGCGGCGGTCCGCTAAGTGCGGCACAAATGCATGACAAGCGGCTGCGGAAGGCAGTGCGCGTAGGAAGCATGCCGCGGCGGCACGCCGAAATTAAGGCGTTGACTTAGGAGCATATAGACAGCGACCACGGAAGGCGGGGCGCTTGTAGAAAAGCCGCTGCGGCGGTCCGCTAAGTGCGGCACAAATGCATGACAAGCGGCTGCGGAAGGCAGTGCGCGTAGGAAGCCCGCCGCGGCGGCACGCCGAAATTAAGGCGTTGACTTAGGAGCATGTAGACAGCGACCGCGGAAGGCGGGGTGCTTGTAGAAAAGCCGCTGCGGCGGTCCGCTAAGTGCGGCACAAATGCATGACAAGCGGCTGCGGAAGGCAGTGCGCGTAGGAAGCCCGCCGCGGCGGCACGCCGAAATTAAGGCGTTGATTTAGGAGCATATAGACAGCGACCGCGGAAGGCGGGGTGCTTGTAGAAAAGCCGCTAGTGGCGGTCCGCTAAGTGCGGCACAAATGCATGACAAGCGGCTGCGGAAGGCAATGC